ATGTTACCAATGCTGCTTGTAGAATGACTACATTTGGGAAGCTTAGGGAAGTGAGGAATACAGTGGAATGAGTATCAAAAAATAAGCAGCAAGGTCTAGTAGAAAAAAAACAAGAGTTAGAAGACAGTATTTTGACACGCAAACTGCTGTGTTTGTGCTAATGCTAGTCAGGGATGTTACCATATGCTGGAGCCTATGTACTCTAACTCATGCTCAGCTTTTTATATTAAATAAAACGAGAACCTTTGTTCCACAGTGCTGTATTTTATACATGGCTTGTTTATGCTGTCTTCTCTGCAGAATTTGATCCTGCCTTGTCAATATTTATGGTAGTTGGTATATCAGCCAAAGTCTTGACACCTGCAAAAAGTCTTTTAGGTGCTTTTATCCCAGAAAGGTATTTGAGGGAGGCACACAAGTTCCAGCTGAAGCAGTCGGCAATTTAATAGTTAGCCAAGTTGACAATGAATGTTCCTGGGGTTTGTTTTGTTTGTTTGTGTGTTTTAAGCCTCAGAGTTATCACACCACTGAAGTACATGGTCCAGTTCAGGCTTCCCACAATATTACTAGAGATACCCTGGTAGGCCAGGCAGGTACCATTGCATTACGGTTGGTTAACACTTCCAGCACAGAAAAAACCCTGCACAACTATTAGAGCACAAGGCATCTCCAGTAAAATCAAATCTCAGATTATGTGGGCTGCTAACAGCTTTGTATGTTTTCTGCCTATTTAACACTGCCATATGCTATATACTTTGTAGCTATATATGTAGAATAAGGTTGCCGTTTTAAATAATTTGAAGTTCAGCTAGAGAACACATGGTCTGTGGGCAGATGTTAACGTGTAGTTAAAAATTATATATGCCAATAGTAAATCTTTGCATGTGTAGTAGCAACAGCCATATTTTGTACTTAGCTTTCTTTTGCACTTAAAGCTCCCAGCCACAGCACGGGTAAAGCTGACAGGCCCAGCTGATACACGCGCAGTCCATCATGACAGAAGAAATGTGTTCTGCAGTCAATGGAGTAGTTGCTCCTGGAGGAGTAAATAACTTTCTAAACGGCACATTATTAATGTGCAATTAAGAGTTTGAGCAGACCAAAGTCATTTTAGAACTGCAGCTATAAAGAGATTTAGAGTTTTCTGTAGATGGAACTGTGTGTTGTTACTTTGGTCAGTGCCAGTTTTTCTGCCTTGGCCTTTCCGAAGTTTTAAATATTTATAACAAGTTACAGGTAGTGTTCAGGAATCTGCTATGTATTTCAGCTCTATGCCACCAGTCAGAACATGCTTCACTGATTCTTTTGCTCAGATCCATCAAATGCCACAGTAGATATGAAGCTGAGAAATAAAGTGCAGTGAGAAGACTTTTAAAGACAAAAGTGTAGTAGAAACAACTTCAAAAGATTACTCCAAAAGAACTGTATATCTAGCAGACACAATAGAAATAGCTAAAACATCTTGCTTAATCTTCTATGGAGTATATCCAACAGGACTTCCTGCAACTCTGATATAGTAGTCTAGCTAAAGACTTGAAATCATACTGTTAAACGTGGTATACTGAGTTCTTTAGTGGGATGTTGCAGGTAACAGTTAGCTTTAGTTTTATTTCAGGCTTTATGAAAAGGGAGTTTAGAGCAGGTTAATTACATTACATTGCATGGGTATATTTCAGGCTTTATTAAAAGGGAGCTTAGACCAGGTTAATTACATTACATTGCATGGGTATAGCCATCTCCTGATTTATTATCATTTAGTCAAATACAAAAATAGCTGTGGAGATACATATAGGTACCAAGTTTTAGCCTATACAAATAAATTGTGCCTTGAATTACTACTTCTCCACAGATATATATATAAATGACTGACACCTCTCTTGCAGGTTTTTGCTGAGGTCAGTGTGTTCAGAAATTAAGTGTACAATCTGATAGGAAGGGAAGTATAGTTAATGGGAATTTTGAACCTTAGAGGCAGAAAGGGAACAGGGTCCTGGCACTGTGTGAAGCAGAGAGCTGTTTGTTAAGAGCTGCATATAAATGATATATCATATTACAGGTACTTTTGTATTATTCTCTTGGTATTTATGTACTTGGAGGACCCTGGCTTGTCTTTCAGTGAATGAAGATCTTTCTGAGAGAATTTTCAGTATTGCCACTTGAAAAGTGATGAAGAGAATGCTTTAAAAGCCGTAGGAAGAGTATGCATCATTTTTGTTGAACTTTGATACATGTAAGGCCTAAAGGAAGAACTGAGTAGAGATCTTCAGACTCTTCTCAGGCACTTGGACAATGAGATCAGGTTAAGATCCCAAAGTCTAAAAACTTATTTTTCCCTTGCAGGGGAGAAACCATTTCTGTGTGAGGCACAGGGATGTGGTCGCTCCTTTGCTGAATACTCTAGCCTTCGGAAACATTTGGTTGTCCACTCAGGTAGGAGCCTTCATATGACATGCTAAGACGTATCTGAGAAAAGATCTTTACTGTAGGACTTTGATTTGACTTTTTCAAGAAAAATCCCCTGGCTTCTACAAAACTTCTGGTCATTTTGTTTCACCACTTCCTCTATGGTGCCTGTAGCCCATAATCTTTAATCTTTGCTGGTCTTTCTGTAGCCTTTTTCCTCAAACATAATTCTACATTTTATGATTCTAAATTCAAACTACAAAAATTTTAAATTTATTTATTAAAGAATGTTTTTAAAATGTCATGAAGTTGGATACCTGTTTCATAGCTGCCATTTTTTAATTTAAAAGACGGAATCTAACACCTCTCAACCATTCCGTTTGAAATCTCTCATGAGTAAGCTTCTGCCACAGGCAGGGATTTCCTTTTTTTTTTTTGTTTTTTTGTTTTAATATGTGGTACATAATTGGATAAAGCATTAAATGGGAGTTTAACAAGTGTGAAATCTGTTCCAAAGCTTCTGCCTTCCATTTTGATTGATCCATCTTAAACGTCATCAGCACATCATAAGTACGGCTTGTTTAGGGGAGGGGAAAATTTGCTTGGATAGTAACTTTTGGGACTACCTGAGCTCTCCATGCTTTTTTTTTCCTTGTCGTCTTGGCTTCTGTGCTGTAAGCTTGCATTTACAGACAACAGACTTGGTTGTGTTCGGAACTGCTCAGTAAAATGAGAATCCATTCACAGTGACAACTCATTGTCCAGTCTCTATTTAGTAACATAAACCAAATGCTGCATTTTTCTTTTAATGTAATAGAAAGAGATGGCTCCCCTCTGCTTGCTTGCTTTTGGTCAATTTATATTCTGAGACCTCGAATTTTTCTATCTTCCTGAGTAAGAGATTCCAAATAACTCGTTCCCTTTCATAAATCAGATTTGAAGACTTTGTTACTCTTCAGGCTTGAGTTTTCCAACAGTTGGCAATACGGGTATCTGAAACTCTTCTATTCTAGAAGCTTATTTCTCTCTGGGAAACAGGAATAGTTCTCACATGTTTTTTCACGGATAATTAGCACCAACAACGGTGTCAATGGCCATTTCAAAATAGTCTTAATTTATTATTGACTCCTTTGTTGATGAGGTCTTTATCGCCACTTTGGTAACTCTTGGAAATTTTTTCCCCCCCCCCCCTTCTCCAAGGGGGGAAGCCCCATCAGTGCCAAATTTGTGGGAAGACATTTTCCCAGAGCGGTAGCAGAAATGTGCATATGAGGAAACACCACTCCCGAATTGGAACACCTGGCAGCAGAGAGCGAGAACAGCCAGGTAAGGATAGGAAGGTATCCTCTATGGGGAGGAAGTGCAGGAAGGAATTGGTGGATGGTCAACAAGAAGGGAAGACATCTGTAGAGCGTACAAGCTAGTAGGGAATAATACATTGTTTCCCTTGGAGATGAGGAAGGATTGCTATCAAGGAGAGAGAGCCTCCCCTTGCCTAACAGAAAAATACCTTTTTTTTTTTTTAAATCTATTGTAGTCAAGATAGGTTTATTGTTTTTTAAAATTAACTTGTATCTGATGTCTTTTTTTTTTAACATGGAATTTGTGCCTTTCATTATATATTCTTGTTGCAAGAAGCCTGGGTTTTATGCTATATGAATTATTTAAAGAGAAGGCCAAGCCTGCATGAGATCCTGCCATACTAAGGCTCAAAACAACAAATATAGGCGTTACCACCCATTGGAGTGCCAGATGCCCAAAGAGTAGGAGCTGATAAAGGAGGTGCTTAGGGAAGAAGTCTGTGTGATATGGAGGGGGAAGGGTCAGGGATTGTAGTAGATGATGTAGTATCATTACATCATAAGAATTTTGTTTTACTCTATTTTCACACTAGAGTCACTGATGGGGAGCAGTTTGCTGGAAGAATCTCCAGTGCATAGTAAGAATCTCATCTCCATGAACTCTCAGCCCAGTCTTGGGGTTGAGTCTCTGCACCTGCCAGATACTGAGTCTATTATCGGAGTGGAGGAGGGTGAGACCAGCTGCTCTTTTTTCCGCCCTCTTATATGTGGTGACTGAAGCAGGATCGATCATTCTTCCTAGAGGCTCACCATGTTGCAGTGGAATGAGTGAACATTGCTTTTACTGTGCACAGTGGGGGTGGGTAGATGAAGAACGAATCATAAAACTGGAGTTGGAGAAGATCTTCTGGACCAAGTTTCTCTTGCAGAGCTTCAGGGGTGAAGTCTGCTGCTTAGGTGTCATTTAGCCCGTGTTGTGGAACGCCATTTCAAAACCGTTACTGCAGTCCATTCTCTTAAAGCCTAAAGTGTTTGCATTCCTGGGGCACATAGGAGCCCCAGCTAAGGACCAGGACCTCATTGCGCTAGGCATGGTACAAACACTGATTATCTTGAGTAACAGGCCTTCCATCCTTTACCTTCAGAGACTATATTCTAATACATCTCACTGTCAGAAGCTGATTTAATATCTGAAATAAATGTACTACTCAATATCATTTAATTACGTTTGCTGTGTTCTTTTCATGCTTTCTTCAGTCACTTTTCCCCCAAATTTATTTGGTGTGTCAGTTTCTGTAAATTGGTCTACTTGCAGACGTTTTGAATTTGTCTTAACTTGAAGGCTTTCTTCAGAATTAGCCTTATTAACAATGCAAAGTTTTGCTAGGATTCTGTGCACTATTGCCAGATTAAATATATCCCAGCTGGGTTTTCTCTTAGAATTCTTATAAGAGATGAGACTGGGGGAGGGGAGGTAACATTAGAAATGTTTAATATGCCAGCAGGAAGTAACAGGGTCCTTGATGGTTGTTCTGGACACATTAGATAGATAGTCATATGGTCTGGTTAAACCACCACCTGGATTCAGGAAAATAGTCTTGCCTTGCTAAGTGTTTTTTAGAAATCTCAAGAGGCAGCAATCTCATCAAATCAAAACTAGTTTCTGATGTCTTGAAAGAAATATTCTTAAACTGGGTGGCAATCTTTTGGATAGTCGCTGTAATTCTGAACCTGAATTACAAACCTTAAAAGCTCCTTACCAACCACTTTGTAGTGCAGATTAATTCCAGTTCTGCCTCATCTTTGGCTCTGTTTTCTGCTTTCTTTCAATTGCAGGAATACCAAACATCTGTTTAACATAATTTAAAGCAAAATTTCATTGATAGTTGGTGCTTGTCATCCATGCCAGATGCTTACAGTTTTTAATGTATGTACGGCACCAGTTTCCCAGTAGATGTCATCAGAAACATGAGCACTCTGGAAACTGCTGGCTGAGCCAGTTATACTCAAGGTGGCTGTGAGCTTGTACAACATGCTATAGCTGCAGACATTTTGGAGTAAGCTGGACAGATCAAGAAGTTTAGCAAGCTGGTTGTAGGTGATGAAGATAATATACATCCGATGCAATATACAAAGGATAGGATAAGCTTTCCCTATATATAAAGTTTTAAGAATCAATTGAATGTGGTGACTGTGTGTTTTCCAAAGCAAGAAGAAAACAGACATAGTAACAGAAGGAGATGGAACCATGAAGTTTAAAAAAAAAAAAAAACAACAAAACAAAAACAAACCACAACAGGCCTGCAAGGTGTAAGACTTGAACCCAAAGTACATTCTAAGCCAGCAGATTACTTGTCATGCTCTCCTGGAGCCAAAACTAAACTGTAGTCTCAAAATGGACTACAGGATGCAGAACGTGACTGTTTCAGTCACCAGGAAGCTAACTTCAGGAGATGCTGCTCATGTTAAATCAGCACGTGAGACTTCCTAGCTTGGGGGTGTGGTGAAGGGAAGAGAATGCTGAGCTCCAACACTTGGAGGATGTTAATTACTGCTTGACCAAGTATCAGTCATGCTTCCTGCTGGTACTTCTTAGTGCTAAAATTACTTTGTTCCTGAATTAGTGCACTAGTGAGATATATGTACTAGTAAATTTCCATGAGAATGTAAGTTAACTCCCTTCTTCTGCTCCAGATACATGCATGCAAGCCTAAGTGGGCTTTAGACCAGAGACTTGGAGCATAGAAGAAATCTGCTTTCTTTCTTTCCTCCTTCAATGCTGACATAGTATAGTGACAACATGGTTGTATTACTCCTTTTTTCTATGTGATACAGGAGAAAGAAAAGCCTTTGTGTCCTACACAGTTAAACCTATATAGAAATTGGTATGCTGATAACGGCCTTCCTTGAACCTTCCCAGGTGGCTACTTCCAACTGTAGAAAGTCTCTACAGTGGAACAACTATTTCCCAAACAGTTAGGAATTTCTCTAGTCAAGGACTGTATTTGAATAGGCTAATTCCATCTATGACACAGCACTCAACAGATTCATTGTGTAGAAAGCTCTTCAACCAGTAAAGGAGGGAAAAAAAAAAAAAGGAAAACTAGAAGCCTAAAGTTAGATTTGGTGAAGATTCTTTAGGTCAGTAAGGAAGACTGCTGCAACCCAATGCATTCAGCTATATGCCAGCTTGAATTAATATCTGAACCTGAAACCCTGGGATTTCCTGATTTATGATTAAAAATACCATGATCTCAATTTTGTATTTTTATTTAATATGGTAGCCTTTACAGGTACTGATTTGCTACCTGATCTGAGGATGAGGTCTTGTTGTTATGGTTTAAGGAGAAATGGACTGAGTTAAAGAACATGAAAACAGACACAGTTTCCATTTAAGTAAGGAAAAGATTCATACAGAAGTTGGATAACTCAGAAACAAATAGCCGTTTAGAAATCTTTTAATCTCAAAGTGCTTTGATATCATAATGCTCAGAAAACATCCCAGGTAGTAAGGGTTTGTATTTTGGAGAATCTTATTACTACCAGGTAAGGGATGATCTCCAATATGTGAGCTATACCATTTAAGATGCCCCAGGTATTAGAGTGCAACACGCTGACAAGTAATACCTAATCTTGCTTCCACCAGAGTGCATCTTTGATAATAAAATAATTAGGACAATAACAATCCAAACTGATGCATTGTTTAATTACAGCCTTCTTCATATTTTTTTTTGTTTGTTTTCCAGGTCAAGTTAATGATCTAAAATGATAGGAGTTTAAAACTGAGTTTTAAATAGTGGACTATAGGAGATATGTTAATATAGAAAGACTAGTGCTTCTTCCTAATGGGAGGAAGGAGCAGAGCTGCTGATTAGTCAATGGAGAGGTAACATGCCAGAGAAGAACTCTTGAGTTTTCTTATGGGGTAAGTCATATCCTGTTATTCTGTAGAAATATCTTGCTTAAATTTGTTCTAACACACATCGATAAAGCAGGTTTTAGCACACTGAGAGGAACTTTCCCCTTTCTGTAGGCTTCTCTGGCATGAACACAAGTTGCTGATGCTTAAGGATGCATCGCCTCAATCTTTCATCTCTACTTTTAGACAGAGATAGTGCTTCAACATTTTTAACTTTGTTTTTGCTTTAGGCAGCCTCTTGAAAGATAGGGAATGGCTCACATGAGGAACACTTGTGAGAACTAAGGGAGAATGCAGAGTTTGTTGGGTTGGACAAGAAGTGTTCTAAACAAGAGTAACTTTTTTTTTTTTTTTTAAACTTCTTGCATCTCACCCCAGAGTAATTTTTAGGTGTTGTCCTAGAACAGTATGTTCCTGAGGACTAACCTGGAGAATCTTGAACTAAAAAAATAACCAAGAGATGATCGACAGAGTCTTCTGTTAGGTCTTACGTTGCCACCTCCTTTCCTCTCTGTTCCTCCTGAAGCTCTCCTTCCTCAGCACAGTTGTCCTTTTCACCCTGAGGCTCGGGTGCTCTGCAGAAACAGTAATTGTCTAAGCACTAGAAATAGGTTGCATGTGCTTACTTCCTGCTTTGTCCTGTGCATAAGAAATAGAATGCTTGCCTAGCAGTTAGAGGAGTTAAGATAGAGAAGCTATAATGCTTAATAAATGGAGTGGAGCTGATTTAACTTTGCCTACACTGGATGATACAAACTGGAATGCTTTTATAAGAAAAATAAAATATTTCGAGTCAAAGGTAAAAAGTTATATTATATTACTACCTGTGAATGTTAGAGTCTTCTTCCAGAAAGTCAGTGGCATCTTTTCCTTTTTGCCTTACAAAATCTTCGCTTAGCCCAACCTGCTGGAGGGTATGTCTGTAGCGACGCTCTGCTCCTTGACGAGCATCAAGCTATGAAATTGAAACTTAAACAATAAGCATGTAGATCTGGGCTGCCATGTAATGGGTCAGATTTTAAGGTTCATGGCTGACAGTCCTAATGAGAACAACAGGGCAGCAAAGCCCCTATCCAGTATTACTGTCATCCACAGAGTACAATACTAACAATAAATACTAGGAAACTGTATCCCATAGCTCACTCAGTGGAGGAGCTCACCTTCTTCTGCATCTGTTCTTTTTTCCTTCCTTTGTTCTATTCCCCTGCCTCTAGTGCACTTCAGTCTTAACAGGCTAGCGCACTTGTGTCTGAATCCTGACACACTAACACTCTAATTGAGAATATGTGCAAAAAAGAGTTGTGAGAAATTATGGAAGCCTAGTCACTTGGAACTTGTAAGCACTAACCACAGTGGAGTTCAATAAATAGAGCTTGTGAAAGAGCTTCACATCAGCTCATCTTCAAGAAACTGAAAACCAGGCATCTTGGGTCCTATTTCTTTATTGACTACACAAAAACCTTGCAAATTTCTGTTGTCTGAGATGACAGCTTTCCAGAGGGCCTTGCCGGTTCCAAAAGATTAAGGTGTTGCATATGGAAGGATAGAAGTTTTGTCTCAGGATGAGTGAATGCTATTGACACTAGTTAATTCCTACCAGTCTGGCAAACAGAAATATTATTAAAAAAAATCATACAAATGTGTTTTCTGCCTCCATTAACCAACAGGTACTTCTGTTGAGAAATCTTAATGACAATATATAGCTATATGCTGATTTATGTCTCTAACCAGGTATCTATCAACCCTGCAAGGAGATAGCACTAAAAGGGAAAACCCAGGAAAATATACTTTCTAGAGAGTAAGGTTTGTATCTACCTTTCTATTACAGTACAGATATGCAGATGGTACTGTGTTATGGATGAGATGTGCTGAACACAACCACAGACCACAGTGCTTGCAAGTGATATAAGTGACTTAACTATCATTAATGTTTTTTCAAGTAGCACTAGAGATACGAAGAAAAAAGGCTCAACTGGAAAAGATTTTTTTTTTTTTTTAAGTTTTAAATTTCTAGACAATAGGCTATTGTATTCAGGGGCAGAATCAGGAATTCATACAATATCTGACGTGATAAAGCCTTCATTTTGATCAGGCCCTATATTTTGATTGCAATATATATGAGGTATTGGAAAGCCCTACAACTGTGAGATAAGTCTGAGTGGCTTTTCAAGAGGTGGGAAGGAGTTTGAAAAACACTCAGGTGGCTGTTCCATGTGTTATTTTGAGTGTAGTCTGGAGACTACACAAACATTTGCATCGTCTTATGCAAGACTAACCTGAGACTAGATTTCCTAACGCCTGTCTTAAGTGAAAGACAATGTATCCTGTCATCCAGAAACACTCTGGAACTTTGACCAGTTACCTTGGTGACCTGTTCAAAGAGGTATGGTCTCTTCTTGACTCGCAGCTGCATTTCTTCCAGCTCCTTTCTGTATTCCTTTGTTCTCTCTCTGATATTTTGCCTGAAACAGAAAAGTTCCCTGTCTAATCAAGGTTTCCTCTTACTGTGGCTGATCAGGAATGAGGAATTCTCAATAACTGTTTTTATTCTTTAACTATTTCTGGTAATTGTCTTGATTCTGAATGCTGGCCAAAACACACTGCTATTTCTGGCAAGTTATGTGCCCTTAGCAAAGCTTTACTACTAGACTGTGAGCAGAGACTGTATTTACTACTAGACTGTGAGCAGAGGCGTTTTTACAAAACCTTATCTTAGGTATGTTTTCCCAAATGACATGTTTCAGTTGGCTTGCTTGTACAAATTATTTTCTACAAATGCCGGTCTAAAGGAAACTATTGTTTGGAAAAAGTAGTGCTAGACTATCAAGAAATCCAAATTAATGTGAAATGGGTATGGCAGCCAAAAAAAAGAGGTTGGGAAAGTAGGCTCTTAGGCCCAATCACTCCTAAAGAATTATCTGATGATCCCCAGTTATTGCAGTAAACAGTTATTTATGTGCAGAAGAGTATACCGACCAGTTCTGTTTCGACTTCTCCTTGTGTGTTTCCTCCAAACTTTTGTGCGGATCCAGGGCTTTTGCTCGGCTATTCACTGACTTATGGATAGCTTGACACTTCTTTTTGTGTCTCTCCAGCCAAATACTTCCTTCTTTGTCCCTCTCCTTTTTGTTGTCTTGGGAGTATCTATATAGAAGGAAGTTAGTAATGGGATAACAAGTTCACTTCAGAGTGCTAGACTGTGTGCTAGCTGGGATTTTCATTTTTGTAATCCTGTAGGGAGAAAAGCAGTTTCAGACATGCAAACATGCAACTCCCAAAACAGTTGCAAAGCAGAGCAAGAATTAGCATGGAAAGAAGATCAGCTACAGAGAGACACATTTAGAAAAGGTTAATAGGTGCCTGATACAAACAAACATGCATATAAAACACAGCATGATAATACAAAAGACTGTGACAGGAAAAGGTATCTCACTGAACCTGGAGATGTGTGGGTTTTTTCAGCAAATACTACATATTTTAAATATTGGAAATGCAGCTGACATGATGAGAGAAAACATTAACTTTTTTTCTCCATTTTTGTCATTAGTTGGGGTATGGTCTTGTATACAAACTTTTTTACTTACCTAATAGCAGATTCTCTTTTTCTTGTTGCATCTGTAATATGCACCGGAAGAGTATTGGAAGAAAGAGAGGAAAGTCCAGTCAGAGAATGACTTTTTTGCGCTGAAACCTTGGATAGTTGCTGGGAATCCTGAAAGAAAGAGTTTGATTCAGTTTATTTTTTCACAATATACAATCTCCTCTGTTCTTTTTCTACGAAAGAGATCAGCTGGGGCACATTCGTCTCTCTTCCATCAGTAGGGATTAACATGGGGATGGGGTTACAGAAGAGAAGCAAGGAGACTTGATTAGGAATATTGAAGGGTGGGCTGCGCCCTAGTTCTCATAGTTCATTTCTTTGAGTAAAATTTTGTTGTCTGGTTTGTCCTAGAATTCTGTAGTACTCCCGAGACAAAGGCAGAGGTCCCACTAAAGAACGTTAACCATCCATTGAAAATGCTATATTTTTAGAAACTTGCCATTTGGATCGGAGAGAACCGTACCACAGAAATACCCAGTCATCTCACCTTTATCTTTTCATTAGCCTGCCTCTGCCTGCAGCGGAGATTGGATGTTCTTAGTTTGAATGGCTTATTACGAGTTGCCTCTCTGATTTCTCGTCTCCTTATTGCTTCCCTCTGAAAGGCCCAGTAAAGTTCTTCAAAGTCTGGTACTGTTGGATTAATCCTTGGCTTGAAGCTGAAGCTTTTGTCCTGCAAGAAGCCAAGTCGCTCTTGCTTAGTTTTAGTGGCAGTTCGGGACTGAGGCTCCCTCTGACAGTTGCGAGTATCAATAGGAGCTACAGAGCTTTCCAGCAAATCCTTGGCTCTCATTTGAATACGAATTTCTCTGTAGAGTTCAGCTTCTAATGGATCGAAATCAAAGCAATGAGAAGAAGAATATGAGTGATGTAAAAGGCTGTGAAACTGCCAATGCACAACTCTAAACCCTTTTTTTTATGATATCAGCTGCTAATTCCACCCCCTCCCCCCCCCAGAAGAAAAAAATCCCTACAAAGAAACCAGAACCATGGTAGTGTCTCTTACTGAGGCATTAATCACCAGGTATCTCTTTCTCTCATGAAAGAGTAAGTTACTGAACTGGCCTTCTTCACCTATTCCTGTTCTTAGGGATACCAGGTAACTCTGCCCTTTGCCTTGCAGAAATGTTATATTAATTCTGGTTCTACTTTTCATATTGGACTTTGTCATTACATTGACCATGTGATCCAAACAGGCTATTCAAATATACTTGTAATGGATAATGGCTTTTCTGTGTAGAATCCAGCAGTGTTTGTCTATATTGGAAAAATATTTTAAGTAATGAGGATGTAGAGGACGGATCTCGTCTTGTCACTTTTGTGACAAATTTTCCAGAGAAAGAATGTCTCTCTGAGATATGGTATAAATTCCATACTTTCCAGTGCTACACTACGTGTTTATAAAAATGTAGACAAACAGTTATTATTCCCTTGCTTTTAGGAAAAAAAAAAATTATATATATACTGCTACTTGGAAAATGAGGCTTTTTTGGGTCTGTTTATAAGTTTGTGTTGACTGAGGTATGAAATGTTCATTCTGCATCACTTCTCATACAATAGGGATGGAAACAACAATGGCTTGTCCTTTGTCTGTTCTCTTTCACCTTTCTCTTTAGGTTAGTACATTGCAACATAATGTTTTCTGAAAAAGAAAACAATAGGAAACAGTAAAAAAAGCAAGAGGTGAGAAGAGCAATGAGAATTATCAGGAACTGGTTTAGCTGCTGTATTCAAGTGTTAAGTCTGTATCCTTTAAACTTATAACTGTGAGGGCTTAAGACATCTGAAAGAAAAAGAAAATCAGGGAAATTTCCTTGACTGCCTCTCCCTCACTTTAGCACCTAATGAGAAACTGGAGAATGAATGGGAAGGTAACTGAAAACATCAGAGGATGGCATGAGAGATTGGCCTATAGCACTATTGCTTGCAATGAACTAATTGCCTGATTTGGACTCGTGAAATATTTCTCTCCTAGGGGTCTTGTGCAGCACAGATCATTTGGGTGAGGGTGAAATTATCAGTTCCAAGATACTGCATGGACCTTGAACACCTCTGGCTCTACATCTGTCTTCATTTTTGTCTGTGCATGCAACATCTAAGTCCCTTTAATCTAATTGAAGATGTGGAATTCAGTAATTGGGATTTGTTAATCCCCTAATTCAGGAAAGATTCCCAAACTGTCATGAATCGCAGCAAAGGGGTATGCAAATCTGTCTGAACAGCTCAATGATCCCACATGTGCATGGGAGTGGTGCAAAACTGCTACTGCTGAGAGTGATACAGGATCACTAAATTTAGGAAGCCCTACTGTAAAGGTATGTAGACAAAATGCAACGACCAGTGATATACACTAGACTGGACTACAGGATGTAACGATATTGGCTTTATACTCCAAGTAACATTATGTAGCCCATGATCCTACATCCCAGCATGGAGGCAGTGAGGCACAATCATGGAGTTCATTTTACAGGAAGAGCCTTGGCTTTTTACCTTTGAGTTTATCTCCAAGAAGCGAGTCATGTGTAGACTTAGGGACTTTTCTACTGACTTGCTTCTGTTTGGAGCTCTCACTGGGGGTTGCTGCAGCCAGGAACTTTTGTCTGATAGCTTCTTTCTTCTGCTCCTCCTTCTCCAGGAAACTGAAGGGCCGCTGACTTGAAAGTAGCAGCTCCTTTCTTTTCTGAGTTGCTATTTGCCTGCGAATCTCACTCTGTTCCATTATTTCCCGATAAAGAGGCAGAAACACATGGGCAGGTACAGGCTGTGCCCGGAATTGCTTCTGACATTCTGCTTCATCCTTGCTTTGCCTTTTGTCCCTCTGTTTGTCTAGTTCAAGAAACACAGATGACTTCATCAGCTGGGACTTTTTGTGAGCTTCCCGCAGTGTCATTTTGAAGGGCTGAGGGATGGTGAAGGAAGGGATCCAGGGAGATGAAGCGCTCTTTGGCCTCAAGTAGGATTTAGGAAACATGTGAGGCTTTTGCTGATCCCAAGTGCTGTCCAAGGTGAGGTCAGTCAAAGAACTGGACTGTCTTTTGTTACCAGATGTATAACTAGATAGAGACATTATCAAGGGGGAATAACAGAAATTATTAGAAATCAGAAAGAAAAGAAGAGGGACACTGTTGATCAAGAAAAATATACTGTAGTGTCAGCTGTTAAAAGACAGGCCTAGACCTTATTGTTCTCCATCTCTGCGTTTTGCTTTGCTACCAAGTTTGTGAGCATAGCTTGTGCTTTTCTATTTTCCATGTGTAAAATAGCAGTTATGCCTACTTAGCTTTGGAATGCAATTTATTATGCTGCTAGTTCTTTATTTCCAGAAAGGTCACAAGTCAAATGGAAAGTTCCAACTGTAAGGATATCTGACTACTGGCTATTCAACATAAAATACAAAGACAAGAAACAGAAGAGGCAATAAATCAAATACACAGACGCACAAACCCTAATGAACAGCAGATAAGGGAGAGAGTAACAAACACCAGAATTCCTAAGACACTGATGGAAGGGCCATTACAAGGAACCACTTGAGCATAACTTTGAAGAGCCTCAGCTAGAAACTTTGTAGCTGATAAGAAGACTATGTAACTGATAATAAACAAGACTATCATGGATCTCATTGTAAAGAGTAAACTTCTTATGGGATGTCTGAGGTTCACTGTGGGACTGGGTAAAACATTATGCAATGTTTAGGGAAGGATCAAATGCAGGGAAACAGAGAGATCAAGGTGGGCCAAGAAGGTCCAAGCATAGGCAAATGGGGAGGAGGGAGGAACAGAAGGGGCTGACAGTGTATAAGCAGGCTCCTGGTCAAGCCCTGTGCCTGTTCACTGCACTCTGTCCTATCTTCTTCTTAAACTCTATTTCTATCTATTTTCTGTGTGTGTATGTCTGTGATCTGCTAGCAAACTGCAAGCTGTACTAACCAGTGAGTAGTATAAGAGGTCTGAGGGCTAGACACTGGAGAGACAGTGGTCTGAGGACTAGGCACTAGAGAGACACGTGCGAGTGATCTGCTATTGAATTTTAAGCCTGATTAGCTAATGAGCAGGACTGGGCCATTTATATTGTTCATGTTTTATGTGCATGCTGTTTGTGTTTATGTGGACACCTGTTCAGGCACTGCCTTCCTGTCTGTGCAAATACATTTGTGACCAGCATGTTGGGATTGTACGTGTGCAGACAGGCACACGTGTGTGCATTTTGGGAATTCACACTGAGTCTTGTTACTAGTTGAGTCTGGGAATGGGGAGAAAGCAGCAGCTCTGCATCTAGCAGACCAGCAGGGAAGAAGTTCCCCACATCCTACAATCCATGGGATTGTGCTGTGCCTTAACAAAAAACATCTTACCTGAGAGCATCATACAACTGGTCACGTAGAATTACTGATTCTTGGAAGAAATCTTCAAGGTCCTCATCCTCTCGGGGTAGTTTGTGGTTGTTTGCTAGCTGCGCCCAGGATTGTAAATCCCCTTCTAACAGAGACTGTCCCTTTTCCATCTTGAGCAATTGCACAGGCTGAGGAAGCTCCCAGCTCCTTGCCGGATCTCAGAAGATGCTGAAGTTCACCCCTTTTGGGCCGAGGGAGTCCGTCGTTCCCAGGTTCATCTGCCTCTGGGTCCGAGAAGCTCTAGGTGGAAGCACCTGGAAAATCAGAGTTGGGTGATCAGCAACGTAGCCGTGACTCCCTGCACCTGTGAGCACGTTACAGCCGCAGCCCTCCTGGGCTACCTCCTTCCCCATTTCCAGCTACCGGTGGAGGTGGCACATAACGTACAGGGAGGTTTACGCCCCGCTGGCGGGCTCAGACGCGCAGGCACAACGGGCCGCGCACGACCGG